CAAAAGAATTTAAAACATATGTTCACACCAAAACTCGTTTACAAATGTTCATAGCAGCATTGCTTGTAACAGTCGAAAGGAGACACAACCAAACTTTCCATCAACTGAAGAATAAACAAATGTGGTGTATTTATACAATCGGAATATTATTACTAATAATATTTCAAAACTTGACCTAGATGTAACCTGGGTGTGGCAGGTTGAGACCTTTCCAAGAAGGGTCTAGTGGTCTAACATCCATTTTCTGAAACCCACTGTTCCAAACTGACCTTTGTATTCTCACTATTGTATCTTACACAAGGTCATTTGTGAAAGGAGTCTGTACCAGAGAAGAAGTCCCTTTCAGGAAAGTCAGGTGCTAGCAGACTCTCCTTTAAGGCTACTGGACTGAAGGTGGCCTTGGCGGTTTCCGATGCACGTGTGAGTGAATGGAAGAGTGTTTTAAAAAGGTTTATTTAATGTGGGTTGATATTGTAATGGAAGGCTTAACTCGGGATCCTGGACTGTCACTTGCTCCTTTGTTCTCCACCCCCTGAAATGTACATGTGCTTCAGTAAATTTTTCTCACTTGTCAAAAACAAACAAAAAAAACCCTATGAAAACCAGCAATAAACAGAAATGAAGTATTAGCACATGCTACAACATGGAAGAACCTTGAAAACATTATGCTAAGTGAAATAAGCCAGATACAAGAGAGCATATATTATATTATTCCATGTATATGAAATAGGCAAATCCATAGAGACAGAAATTAAATTAGTGCTTACTAGGCTTTGGGGAAGGAAGGAATGAGGTGTGAGTGCTAATGGTACCGAGCTTCTTTTTGGGGCGATGAAAATATTCTGGAATTAGGTAATGGTGATAATTGCACAGTTCTGTGAATATACTAAAAACTTCTGCATCCTACACTTTAAGAATGGGTTGTGTGGTGTGTTAACTATGTCTCAGTTTTACAAAGTCATGGAAGAAAAGTCTAAGAAAAAAAGGAATAAATTTGACTGCATTAAAAAAAATGATTTGTGGTTGTCTCGAGGAAAAGCTATCTTCTGTTCTCTTCTACTCACACTCACGATACTTCCAACACCAGATGTGTGGGTCTTCCACACATCAAGCAGTTTTGTGACACCGGCTGGATGTCCTACAATTCAATTCAGTTCTGACACTGTCTACCTGGTATTCACATAAGAGCTCATAGGTTAAGGGCTCAGTCCTACAAGACTGTCTACCTGCTACCTCAGATGCCCATTACAAGTCCAGATTGTCACCCATGCTCTGACCAACCAGCTATAAATTGGAGGTTCTTGTGACCCACCCCCCAGGTTTGTTTAATTTGCTAGAGCAGCTCAGAGAATTCAGGAAAACATTCACTTATTAGATTACTGGTCTATTATTAAAGGATGTAACTCAGGATGAGCAATGTGGAAGAGATGCACAGGGTAAGGTCCAGAGGTGTCCCGAGCACAGGAGCTTCTGTCCCCATGGACATGAGGTGCTCCATCCTCCTGGCATGTGGATGCATTCACCAACCCAGACGTTCTGCAAACTTTGTATCTGGGGAATTTTTATGGAGGTTTCATCACATAGGCAAGACCAATCATTAACTCAATCTCCAGCCCTCTCTCCTTCCTGGAGGATGGGAGGTAGAGCTGAAAGCTCCATGCTTCTAATCATGGCTTGGTCTTTCTGGTGACCAGTTCCCATGGTGAAGTTCTCCAGGAGCCCACAAGTTTCTTCATTAGAATGAGAGAAACTCCTATCACCCAGGAAATTACAAGGAATTTAGGAGCTCTGTCAGGAGCCAGGGGAAAGACCAAGTATTAGAACCAAAGATGCTCCTAGTGTTCTTATCACTTAGGAAATTACAAGGATTTTAGGAGTTCTGTGCCAGGAATTGGGTGCAAAGACCCTATTTTTTTCTATTATTTCACAGTGGTAGTAACATAGAATATAGAGGTAATCAGAGGCCACATGGGGCTCCCCGCAAGGGAGGGACACCTACTTATTTGGTAGGATGGGGCAGTATTAGGGAAGACTTCCCCAAAAAGGACTTCAGGGATGAAGAGGAGAGTAGAAGGCCAGTTACTGGGGATGGAGCCCTTGTGAGAAATAGCAAGTAACTGGGCTGCGGGGGCTTGGCAGACAAAGAAACTAGAGGAAGAGGCAGTGACGGAGAAGAGCCTGGAGGGATTCAGATCAGTGGAGAAACGATTGACTTGTTAATGGGTGGTGTTGGGACAACTGGAGAGCCATGTGGGAAAAAAAAAATCATTCCTCATAACCTATGTTAGTATTAACTACAAAGGGATAGAGATTTAAATATTAAAAATGTGATGCCATAAATGACTAGAAGAAAAACAGGCCTCAGTAACCTGGAGTGGTGAAAACTTTGACTCTAATTCGAAATCTAAGCAGAAGTTTGAGAACTGTGGTTACCTGAATCTAGTCAAGCCTCTAGCTCTAACTGCCTGTGTACAGGAAATACAGGAGATAAAAGATCCTGTTCAATGACACCACAGAGTGCAATCAGCAAAATGTGGAGCCTAGGGACCTCAGGTTTGTACTGCTCCTTTGTGAACTGCTTTCTTTAACAAATAAATGCAAAAACAGAAAAAAAGGAAGGAGGGTTACTTTTAGATTAAAAGATGCTCAAAATACATATCAACCAAATGCAATCTGTGGATCTTGTTTGCTCCCCCCAATTAAAAAAACTGAAAAAAAGCACAACTTTTGAAACAAATGAAGAAATTCAAACCCTGTGTGGATACTGGATAATTTTAAAGAATTGTTATTAACTTTATTAAGTATGATCATGGTAATGTGTTATGTTAAAAAGAGGAGGCCTTATCTCTTAGAGATATAGACTGATTTACAGATGAAATGGTATGATCTTTAGTATTTACTTTAAAATAATCCAAAAAGGATATGTGTGGGAAATGGGAGGTAGAAATGAAGTAAAGTGGTACGTTTGTTAATAATCATTAAAGCTGGATGGTAAGTACATGTAGATTCATTATTCTTTTTATATTCTTATAAGAATCCTGTTCTCATTCTTTTGGGAATAAATTTGAAAATTCCCAGAGCCCCTGAAGGCCTTTTCAGCAGGAAAATGCCAAGATGAAACTGGCATCTGAGGGGTACAGCCCTGGGGCTAAGAAGACTAGACAAGGTGCCGTCAGGAGGTGATGGTGATAAGGGACTGGATGAGGAGAATGTCGGGGTCAGGGAGGGGAGAGTCAGGGTACGGACAGTATGAAGGAGGCAGAAGAGGCAGAATCTGATGACCATGGACTGAGAAAGCTAAAGTAGGAAGCAAGGGTGACTCTCAGGTCTCAGGCTCAGATGAACGACTGTGTGCTGAGACCATTCAACAAGCAAGGAAATCCAGAAGAAATTAAAGTTGAGGGTGAAGGAATTGATAGGTTCCATTTCAGACAGGCTGAGTTTGAGGTGCACATGGAACATCCAGAGCTTAGGAAAGAGATCTGCACGAGAGATAGGGTGTTGGCAAAGATCAGCTGCCGCAAAATTTCCATGGTAACATGTAGAGTGTAGGCACAAGTAAGCGCTCCTGTCAAGAGTGAGCACTTCTTATCAAATTAATAAATTACTCCTGGACCATTGTTACATTAAAAAAGCAAAGTGGCTTAATCAAGAATGATAGCAGAGACCCACACAGTAATAGTCTGTGACATCCATGCTGCTCTGTTGCCTCTCAGGTTTCACCTTGAACATGTCATAGATCTTCAGGGTTTAACTGCAAGCTTTTCTTGTTTCATTTCTTTCCCCTGATAAAGGTGTTTCCAAAAGAACACTAAGGCTTGAGTGGGAAGGGATAAATTGGGAGTTCACGATTTGCAAATACTAATTACTATATAGAAAATAGATAAACAACAAGTTTATACTATATAGCACAGGGAACTATAATTAGTATCTTGTGGTAACCTATAATGAAAAAGAATGTGAAAACAAATATATGTATGTATATGTATGACTGAAACATTATGCTGTATTCCAGAAATTGACACATTATAAACTGACTATATTTCAATTAAAAAGAATGCAAATTTTAAAAGAGAGAGAACACTAAGGCTTTAGTATATCGGGGGAAAAGAAACCTCATGAGAAAGATTAATTTTTTCTTTTTCACTTCACCTTTTTCCTATTGTTCTTTCCGTGTTGCCCATGGTATTATAAAAACTGAAGGAAAACACCAAAACCATCTAGATCCAGGGGCACAGTTCAATGTCCTGTCTTTTAAACAGCCGTGGTAGCGTTCAGTCCTTGGGATGACATATGTATTCAGAAGGAGCCATGCGGCTGCTGGTGTAAAACAGCATTTTGTTTCGGGGCTGATTTATGCCTTGGAATAGGGCAAAGAGAAGACGACTCAGCCCCTCTGGTATCTGTTGTTGGGGGAGCATCAGGCCATCTGCTGGGCTTTAATAAACCATCACAATAACATTTTGGTTTGAAGCACAGAATAATTTTCCAAACCAGAATTAAAGTTTGTCAGCAATTGACGCACTTGCAGGTCTTTTTTTGTTTTGGGGTTTGTTTTTTTTTAAATAAAGATATTTGCATCTTTAGTATTTACATTCAAATAAGAAGAGAAGCACATTACTCTTCTTTTTCTGTCCTGGGCTTATTCTTGTAATCTTGTGTTGACTGCCCAGTCCAAGCTTCTTGGCCTGGCATTTAAAGCCTCCATAATTTGGCTTCACCCAAGACCACTTAAATCAGAATTTTGGCGGGTTGGACCAACGCATCAGTTTTAAGTCTCCGCTGATGATTTCGTTGTGCGATCACTGTTGAAACCATCAGTGGTTACAACGTGAACGTGGAGAAGACAGCGAGGGCATTTGGATTATTTATCTTATTGATCAGAAGCAAATGTGAGAAATTAAAGTTTTTCAGAGCTTCAGATGGCAGCCACGATGTTTGCTGTATATGCGTGTGCACGGGTGTGTGACTGGTGTTACCGCTCTCTGTCCCGGCTGCAGGTGAACGCTGTGCGGGTGTATGTGAACAGCTCCTCAGAGAACCTCGACTACCCGGTCCTGGTCGTGGTTCGCCAGCAGAAACGGGTGCTGTCCTGGCAGGTTCCTCTGCTTTTCCAAGGACTGTAAGTGGATCTTTCCCCAACAACTTCATTACACTTGTTTTCTTTCAACATCCTAGACCTTAATTGGTCTTTTCCTTAATGAGGAGAAACCAGACATTCGGAATGCGGACATATTATGCATGCTAAGTGCATAAACAGTGGTCATGGTGCATGCCCCCAACCTGCTCAGCTCTGTTCTGTTTCTGTCTTCTTTGAGGTCCCCATAAGCACTCTGCCTAGATTTGTAGCATCTGGAAGAACACTTAGCATTTTAACACTATCCAGAATGTTCTGTTGCTCTTGGTTGGTTAGTGGGTCATCCACTGAGTATTTAAGTCATACTCAACTTAAAGGAGTAACACCTCCCCCATTCTTTACAATGTTTACCACGTGTGCTTTCTTTATCTTGTAATATTTATTGAGCACTACCAAGTGCCAGATGCTGGGGACACAGTAGTGGAAAACAACAACAAAATCCCTACCTACTGGAGTTTATATTTTTGCAGGGAAAACTCTCCAAGTCACTAGAGCACTAGTAAGAGCAAACCCAGAAGGCATGCAGACATGGGCACATAGTACAGTGTTTAATCATTTTTGGAGGTTGAGGAGTTTGAAGATTGAAATACTCTGATAGCCTTGACTTGGACTCTGGGGCTTACTTTACGTTCATTTAGAAAAAACTTGAAGAGTGGGAAAAGGAAATCAATTGGTTGTTTTATCAGAAGAGTTTCCCCTTCAAAATCCGGTATTTTTTCCTGATTTAATTAGAAGGATGGTTTGGCGTGTTCACAGCCTAAGTGAACTGGCCAGCACTCAACAGTCCTCTCATCCCTGTTACCACGCCACACAATCCTGTGCCAAACACACTAGCTCTGCAATTACTATCAGTAAGTCCAGTATGAAATTTTAAATGTAAGGACTTGAAACGAAATTTAGGGAGAAGTGAAGTGAGGTGTTTCTTTCCCTGCTTGTTCATGGAGTCTCTTTCTACTTATGGCTGGTTTTACCCTCGTTTGGCTGCTGCAGATACCAGAGGAGCTACAACTACCAGGAAGTGAGCCGCACCTTGTGTCCCTCGGAAGCAACCAATGAGACAGGACCTCTGGAGCAACTGATCTTTGTGGATGTAGCATCCATGGCGCCCCTGGGTGCCCACTACAAACTGCTGGTTACCAGGATCAAGCACTTCCAGCTGCAGTAAGCGGGACTCCTCGCGGCTTTTCTCTGTTCGCTTGTCTGCACGTCCTGCGCTTGCGCATGCGCACTTCGGCTTCCTTGCTTTCTTCCTTCTTTCCAGATCAACTCTCAAGAAGGAATTCATCCGCGTAGCATATTGTCTTAGCACGTTCTGAATGCTGCTGCTCCCAGCTGGGCGGCAGGGCCTTACTCCGTGCAGTGGGGAGGCAGCAGGGGGCTGGAGCAGAGGGGGAGGGTGCCTGACCTCAGAGGTGTATGTGTTTCCCAGGGTCTGTGAGGGGCCTGTCCTCTCTGTCAGGGCCCTGTCTTCTCCGTCGTCCAAGCAAGAGGCATTGGTGACGGATGCTTTTGTGTCACTCACCAGTGCCACTCTTCTGAAGGAAGATCTTAAGCTATTTTTTATTTTTTATCATTACTACTAAGGAACTGGAAGTTTTCTCCTTCCGGTTAGGAATGTTCATAGGTTGAAAGTAATATCGTTATAAGGCTTTGTCCTTTGTGCAAAAACTAATGACTATTCCCTCCTCCTTGCACTTCCATCCTTGAAATCAAATCAATTGGGATACAGCATCTCAAATTGTTTATATTAGACATGGAGTATAATAAAGTTCAGTTGAGGGCATGGTCTCTAAAGAATCTACGTTATTCCTATAAAATATTGCATAAATCTGTGTGAAAATGTGAACAGAGAGGCTAAGGTTATTCCTTCATAAGGGCCAGAAAATTCAGGGAGTTTCCAGTCCTGTCCTACTCTAAGCCTTCTCAAGAGTTCAAACCATTTCCTCCCCTCTCTGTATTTTAAATAAATTTTTAAAAGATGTATTGTTAAATGGTTATATGAAAATTGGAATTTGTACTCATCAAAAGGTATCATTAAGAGAACAAAAAGACAAGCCATGGACAAGAGAATATATTTCCAACACACATAAGTGACAAAGGGCTCATATGCAGAATATATACAGAGCTCCTAGAAATCAATAAGAAAAAACAGGCAAGCTCTTGGCTCCTGTCCCCAGTATCACCTATTCTTCTGTAGCTCTGGCTTCTTATGGGCAAGAATTTTGGAGCCTATGAGTCTGGACCCTGCTCAGAGTTGAGGCTGGCACCCAGTTGGGTGCAAGGCCAGACTCAGCTTCAGTGAAACAAATAGGTTTTCTGAGGCAAAATTGTGGCGATCTTAGGAGCAGAAAATATACTTGAGAAAACAATCTTGTGACCTGGACCTCTCACTAGAACTTTGGGACAGAGACAGAAGAATCTCAGATGGGGAATCAATGTTTATATTTACCCATTAAAAAAAAATATATATATATATATATATACACACACACACACACACATATGTGTGTGTGTGTGTGTAATATAAATGGACTCAAATATGCCAAGTAAAAGACAAAGAATGTCAAATGAGACTCAGAAAAAAAATACTAAATATATGTTGCTTACAAGAGTACAATCTTTTAAAAAGAATGTATAAATGTAAATAAAAGGATAGTAAAAGAAATACCACACTCTAATACTAACCAAAAGAAAGTTGGTGCAGTATGTCATATTATACAAGATATTTCTTAATGCAAGGCGCATTACTAGATATAGAGAGGTATTTCATATCTTTAAAAGAATCATTTACCAGGAGGACAAATTTAAATTCCAAATTTGTATGTACCCCATAAGGTCACTTCAAGATATGTAAAGCAAAATTGCAGAATAAAAAGAACTAGACAAATCCATCGTCTCTGTGGAAGACTTCGTAGCCAATAGAATAGTGGGCCAAATTTTAAAATACACATACAAGATTCCCCCACTATGTGAAAGTAGAGCATTTCTATCAAACCTTTTACAAGCTGACTGGCATAAAGCAAAGGAGCAATTCCCTTAGGATACATCTTTCTAATGGATGCATAAAATAAATTGAGAAAAAGCACAGATGCTCACAGACACAGTTCAAAAGTATGGCAGCTTTGGTGCGTAGATGCTGAGTGTAGTTCCACTATCACTGCTCAGGGTGCACACTGCAAAACAAACGCTGAGTACTGTTTTTACTTTTCACCTTTTTTCGTAAAAGCAAAACTCTCCAGATTTCTTTTGGTTAGTGAAACCAGGTACTAACTAGAGAAGTGGCATAGAGCAAATTTTTGAAAAATGAGGAATAACAGTATACAGTAATTAGAACAGACATTGGCAAACTATGGTCCACAGGCTGGCCACTGGTTTTTATAAATAAAGTTTTATTGGAAAACAGCCCTACCCATTCATTTACATATTGTCTCTGGCTGCTTTCACACTACAATGCCAAAACTGAGTAGTTGGGATGGAGACATTCTGGCCCTCTAAGAAACATAATTAATGAACTTGAGCTAATTAATGTATTTTGAAAACTGCATCTCAATATGATAGAATGCCTAAACATTTTAAGTGCAGATGCAACCTTTACCAAAATTGCCAAGCTCTCATGCATGTCTTGATATATTTCAAAGGACTGAAATCCTTGCGTATGGAATTCAGATAGAAATCAACTACAAATTGGTAGTTAGTCTACTTCTAAATAACTTATGAGTCAAAGAAATCAAAATTAAAATTAGAAAATGTTTTAAACAAATGATAATGAAAATATCCAAGCTTCTGAGATGCAAATAAAGCACAGCTTAGAGAAAAATCTGTAGCTTTCAAATGTATATGTAAGGAAAGAAGAATGATTCAAAATCAAGGTGTCAAGTAACCATTTCAAGAAGTTACAGAACTGAAAATAAAATTCAAAGAAGGTAGAAGGAATTACTAAAATAAAAGCACAAAACAATGAAACATAGAACAGATTGACAATGGACAAAATCAACTAAACCACAAATCAGTTATTTGAAATAACTAGTATTATTTTTATACCTGTGTAAAAAAAAAATTAAAATGGCTTGCCCATGGAAAAGAGACTTGAACAGACAAGGCAAGAGACTTGAACAGACACTTCACAAAAGAAGTTATCCAAATGGTCCAAAAACACAACTTCATTAGCTATCAGAAATGCAAATTAAACCTATAATGAGATTCCACTGCGCTTCCCAAATTGCTACACTTTGAAAGAACCAACAATGTAGTTCCACTCTAGTTATATACCCAACTCCTAGATATAAAATTGTGCTATTCATTCAATGGAATACCACACAATAATATAAATGAACAAACTACTGCAGTCCCTAACAACAATAAATCTCACAAATACAATGCTGAGCAAAAGAAGCCAGACAAAAGAAATACATACTGTTTGATTGCATTTACATAAAGTTTAAAAACAAGTGAAACTATTTTGTAATGTTAGAAGTTAGGACAGTGATACTTTTCAGCAAGAAAGAAGAGGTGCATGGTTATGCTGACTTGGTGAGAATTCATTTAGATATATACTTATGATTTGTGCATTTTTTTTTTTTTTGGTTGGAAAGAAAGGTGCTTTATTCAGGAGGCTGGCAACTGGGGAGAAGGTGGACTTGTGTCCAAGAACCAACTCCCTAACTTTTCTAGATGTTTGTTACACTTCAGTAAAAAAGTTACTTTTTGAAGAATCAGAATATTTAAAAATATTTATATGCTACTTTTTTGCAGCTTGTTTTCCATATCAGAAATTTCTGTTCTGGTACAAAGCGTTCCTCAAATTTTATAAAGCAATTTATTCTGAACTCTGTAGCCAGTGGAGTTGCTAATAGGAATCAAATATCTGTCTTGGTCTTCTCTACAGCCCTTGACAGTATATACCCATAGATGGACAGGTGGATTAATGAAAGATCAGAAAGATGGAGAAGTAATTACAGCATTTTTTCCAAGTCACTCCATTAATTTTGGTGTAGAAAAAAGTGACATGATAACTTCAAGAGCAAAGAATCCCCCCACCCCCCAGCAGAAAAAGACAGAAAAAGATCAATTAAATCGAAGTCTCTAGGAGGGAGGTTTGAGCATTATAGAATATATATTTTTTAAGTTCCCTGGTGATTTTAATCTGCAGCCAGAGTTAAGAACAAGTACATTTGAGCAGTTTCTACATATGGTGCTTATGTTTGTTTTAATAGTAAATTTGTTTATGATATTAAACAATGTGGGAATTTGTGCTTTTAATTTGAAGGAGGTAGCAGCACATGACTGCTCTGAAGTGCAGACTGAACTTCAGAGAAGCCTTAGCTTTACTAATTGGTCTCTGTATCTGACCTGTCACTGTCACCTGGGAGCAGTGTACTTGAATTCTAGGGCTGGTATCTGTGAGGCTAATTAGACCCTTTGGAGAACTGAATTCTGTGACACTGAAGTCATAAGGTCACAACTCTGTGCGAGTGTTAGTGAATGAGACGCGTGTGGTGAAACTGCAAATCTATTCCCTCATGTTGTCTTCTGTCTCCACCTCTCACAATGTGACTTGACTTCAGCAACCAGACATTTAGAGAATTTCAAAATGCACAGTTACCGGGGCTTTTATGAGAATAAGATAAGCCTAAGAAGAGATGGTAACTGAGATCTTTGTGTCTCTTCCTCCCTGGCTCTGGATTGTCCCATACCAGCCTTGCTGGAAACCCAGAAATCCAGAGGATGATGGTAAACAGACCAGAATTGAGGGCTGTGGGGAGATCTGGCCTCACGTTGCAGTCCTTGCTGTATGTTTTTCAGCAGCAGAGTAGAAGGTATATGAAACACATTCTGGGATTTTTTTTCTCTAGAATCATAAATCTTAAGAACAGAAGGATCTTTGGAAATCAAATCCACTCATTTCATTTTTACACGTGAGCAAACTCATGCCCTGAGAGGTTAAATGATTTGTCCAAACACACAACTATGAAACGGCAAAATTAAGACTAGCTTTGACTTCTGACTTCCAGTTCTGTGCTCTTCCCACTGTAACATGCTATTTCTATTTTCTGTTGAAAATTGTCCTCCTAATTTTTGTGGCCCTAAATATATTTCTCAATTCCATGAAGTATTTATTTAAATCCTGCTTAAAAAATAAAACTCTGCCTTAAAGCATTACTCCTAGCCATCTTAACTCTCCCCTACCTGCCTCCACATACACATACACCAGCTCTGCCACCGCTCCTTTTCCCAGACCCCACTGCCCTGGTGTTCAGTGCTGCAGAGTGTGACGTTGCAGACAGGGAAGGGCAGGAGGCTGTAGGGACTGGCAGGCACCTGATCCTGGGGTAAGAGGAGCTTGGAAGGGCTGTTTAGATAGTTATCTAAATTGTGACCATTGTGTGGAGGATGGATTCGAAGGGGACAAGACCAGACGCAGAGAAATTAGAAGGTGATGCAGTGGTCAAGATAAATAATGAGATGAGTTGAAGAATTTGGAGGTGAAATTGACAAAACTTGATTGGATACGAGGAGCAAGAGAAACGGGAGAGTCAAAGATGACCTTCTAATTTGTCGATGGTGGTGCCACTAAAAGATGAGGATTTTGAGGAGGGGAGGAAGAGATCAGTTCACTTTGGGACATGTTGAACTTGTGCAGATGCCCAGCAGAGTATTGAACATATACCAGCATGACGATCAGGAGAGAGAGCTGAGTTACAGAGAGCCGGCTGAGTAGAAATGCTTTAAGAAGGCTGGTCCACGCGATGCCTGAGGCGGACTTACCCGAGATAAGGGGAGAGACAGGCAGTACTCAGCCCTTGATCTCTGAGATCTTGTATGCTGCACCAGGGAGTTTAGACTTCACCTTTTAGATCATGGGAGCCACTAAAGGATTTTAAGCAACAGAATATCATGAACAGATTTGATTTTTAGAGATGACTTTAGTGACCATGTGGAAGATGAACTGGAGAGAGAAGAGGCAAATACACACATGGGGATAACTTAGTAATAAAAAAATATATGCAGCAGAATCAAAAATATAGTCCCACAAGAGTACTTGCAGCCTTCAACCCTCCTCTAGCCTACTAAGTGAAGATCTTGACACTTTGTTTTGAGAGAGAGTTTTGAGTGCGATAGCTCAGCTACTATGCTGTGAAAAGTAGAGATTTTTTTAGAAAATGGATGAGTGAAAAGGCTTTTATAACATTTTGCTATGTGTCATATTATGTAATCACTCTTTAGTATTTGGGGGGTAGACTACAGTAATGATTTACATTACTTTTCAATTTTTTTTTCTTATTGGATGCTCTATTGAGCAAAGAGGTGCTTCAGGTGGGAGCACATGTATCCAGGTTACTATTATACTAATAGAATCTTTAAGACTTGGTGAGCAATCAAATGTGGAAGTTGATTTTAAAAAAGGGAGTCCAAGACGACTCTAACAATGATGTCATTAGTCAGGTGAGTATTACTAAGAGACGTAGCAGGTCAGGGTGAGGGAAAAGATAATACATTCCTCTTTGATCATATGGAGTTTGAGGTTCTTGAGGGACAGTCAAGTGCAGAAGCCCAGCAGATAATCATTCTTCTGTGACTGGAGCTCAGGAGACAGCCCTGGGCTGAACATGGAGGCTTGAGGTTCACTGGAATTGGTGTGGTTTTCTTGACAACTGAAGTGTGTGTGTGTGTGTGTATGACTTTAATGGCAATTTAATATATATAACTATACATACAGGAATGAAAATGTATGTGGTGATGGAAAATGAGATCAAGAATAGGACTGCAGGTCACATTCTCAGTTCAGGGGTGGTCTGAGAAGCAGGAATTCTTGGAAGAAATTGAGTCAGCATAGCCAGATGTGTAGGAGAAACCCAGGAAATCAGGTGTCTCAGAGCCCACGGGAAGAAAGAGTTCCAAGACGAGGGAGTGGTTGTCAGTGTCAAATGTCACTGTCACAGAGAGGTAAAGAGAGTTAAGGATTAAGTCACTGGATTTAGCCATTAGAAGGTGACTGGCAGCCTCAGGGGGATGGCGGGGAAAGAATGAATGAGAGATGAGAGCAGAGTACTCTTTTACCAGGCTGGTCTGTGAAGGAGAGGGAGGCTATGGAACATCAAAGGAGGGAAATTAGGGAATAGGGGGGAATTTTTGTTGGGCTATTTTTGTTGGTTATTTACTTTGAAAATGGTTGAGACTAGAGTATATTTCTAAACCAAGGGGTAGAAAGGCAGATAGAATTTATAGGAGAGTTGGGTTTTTGTAGAATCAGAGTCCCAGAGAAGGGAAGAAAGGACAGTATTTAGCACATGCAGAGTTCATACTTGGACCAGAGCGATGAGGTGGAGGGGTACAGGTGATGGAGGGTTGGTGGAAGATTTGGGAAAAGCAAAGGCAGTTCATGACAGATGGCAGGCAGTAAGGAGATAGCAGGAAATGATACCCTGAAGTCCATAGTCCAAGTGCACAATCTGGTGTAATTTCCCTCAACAAACAAAGTAAGGGTTTTGAACGGCCACTGTGCTCAGCGCTGGGGGCTTTGCTATTGTAAGATGAATACGATGCTCTGAATCTCACAGTCCTCTCTGGTCCTCACCTCAAAAATGACTTAGCTTTGGTCTCTGCCTGTCTTTCCACTTACTATTGCTTCCCATCCCCCTTTCCTTCTTCTTGGGCTTTATTATCCGCCTGTATATATTTCTGCCCTGCCTCCCCATGGGCCCCTCTCCTTCTTCTCCTCCTGCCTCCCTTACTTGCACACCCATCTCTCTTGCCCTCTGTTCCTTTCCTCTTTCCCTCTCCCTCCAGCTAGCCAGCAGGAGGACACAAAGTCAGCTTTTAGGCTTTCTTATTTATTAAATAAACATTTGTTTCCTGTGCTAAATTTTTTTTAAACAAGTTGAATTTTTTTCTACTTCTTTCTCTCAAACTAAAGGTATACATGTGTCTCAGTTAGATTTGCTCTGTTGGCTAATGACCCCTGATAAAATAAACCTCCCCCACCTCTGTCAAGGCCCAGAGGGAAGGAAGCAGAGCCTTTCATCTGCAAGAGACACTGTGTTGATTTTAAACACTGTTGACTCCATGAGAAAGAGAAGACTTCAGTGTGATAGTCTTAAAAGAATGTGTTTTCAAAGTCTGCATGTGTTGTACTAGTAAATAAAACATAAAGAATAAGGGGAAAAAACCCAGAAAATTCATATTGATGTCCATACATTCAATGTTACAACAGGAATTCAAATGACAGGGGAGAATTTAAAAACAAACGTTTGGCTAAAGAAAACTCTTTGCTTCTGGAAATCTCATGCTGTCTGTTGCTAGCCAAGAAAATCAGCGTCCCCTTCATTCCCCTGACCTGGCAACGAACAGAATTGAGGGCCCCGTGTTGCCCTGGTAACAGGAGATGACACTCCCTACACTGCTGAGAGCCACACACAGCACACACACAACTGGATTGGACGTCGACTTTGGCTTCTTTAGGTGACTTTAGGCCAAGTGTTAATAACCGTGCTTCAGCAGAACCAATCCTTGACTCTGATGATGATTTCTGCTGAGAGTGGATATATAAACATTGCACCCATTGCTAAATTCTAAGCCTAGTCTGCTGACAGCCTAAATTGTCATTACCTTTAGAAATAGTGCTCAAATTTTATGACTTCTAAACAGCACCTCCAGTTACAAACTTCCTACTTAAATATCTTGGCACGCCATTTCTAAAGGAATCTTTAATAAAAATTTGTTAAATTGTTTAATTTCTATACAAGGAAAATTAGGAGTGGAAAGAAAGACTCTTTAGAGTGAATCAAGGGGTGAAGCTGCAGAGGGGGCCCAGGAGAAGTTCAAGTTCAGGTTCCAGAAATGCAGGCCACCCTGGAGGGCTGGGGTCATGCCATTCCCCAGATGCAGGCATTGAGAGGGCAGTGGGCATGTAAGAGTGATCTTCGTAACTAAAGGTGAGGCAAGAACCAGAGAGAACGAAAGCCTACAAGCAGCCCTCATATGACTATAGAGGAGACCAAATCTGTCACTGTGTTTTCCGGCCTCTTGAACTGTTTCACACACGTTCCTTCCAACAGCACCCTGGGCTACAGACGTCTGCGTCCCACATGCTCCTCACACTCTCCTTTTCCCAGTGCTGGCTCACTGCTGTCTTTCCCAGAAGAATGGAAATATCTAATAAAATAATTCACAGCAAATTATTAATTGGAGAGAAAGTAACTTCATTATATTCTTTTGGTGGCATGTGCATTTTAAGAAGGGTCTTAGAAGGTAATGCCTAGCCCCAAGAGACACAATCTTGGAGGGAAATGGAGACAATTTGGGGTGATCAGGGGCAGAAAGAGCTTGCTCCTATTCCTAGGGACCCTTCCATGGTGATTATCTAGTCACCACATTTTTTTAAAAAATGATCTTTTGCCATGAAGGCATCAGAATTATTTTGAAGTGCTATCTGAATTATGTAAAAGGACCTCAAACCTTCTTTTCCTCTCTCATTCAACCCACTTTTGACACCTAAACTCTGTGCTTGATTGTAAAATCTTAAGAGAATCCAAAGACAAAAGTGTCTACAAAAGCAAACAAGTACTTACTTGTATAGGTATAACTTCATGGGTATATAAAGACATAAAATTGATCCCTTCCCCAGTTTGATCATTCTTGAGAATTGAAACCACCAAGTTCCCATGCAGTGTACTTGTCACTTTTATGGACCCAGAATTCTCTTCACAAATGGGAGGGCTGTACTTGCATCTAGTTTAAGATAGCATCCTTTTAAATAAATAATTTTTGCTCGCTAACTTCTGCTTTTCTCTCACTTTCCCCCTTTCCCTCTCCCCCTTGCATTTCTCAGGACAAATGTTGCCTTTCACTTCACTGCCAGCCCCTCTCAACCTCAGGTAAGTGAAGGGTTTCAAAGTTATCATAATTCCACCTGTTGGTGTTACCCAAAGAAACCATGGTAACAGAATCAGCATGTGGTGTTGCCCTTAATCTTTCACAACTTGAGCTATATTTGTAATTCTGGAATGTTGTTCATGTAACTGGGATGTTAGACACAGTATTTAACCTTATCACCTGAATTGGTGTGAAATAGGAGGCATGACATTTGTCTGCAGATGTTCCTGGGCTCAACCTTCATTCATCAAATTGTGGGCCTACTATGTACCAAGCACTAGGTGCCAGGGATGGAAGGTGAAGAAGAGAGAGATGCAACTGCTGCCTTCACGGACCTTATAATCTGGATGGGGGTATGGGACAGGGAGTGGGAGGTCACCACTAAACAGATACACAAATAGTCAGTTGATCTGGAAATACAATAAAAGTAAGACAGATTTTCATTTCTACAGTGTTATGGGTAAAATAAATTAGTTTTTTATGTAATAAAGAAAGAATAGGAATGTCTAATAATAAAAATTATTAGAAGAATTGATATTTGTGTTGTGTTCTCCATTAGACTATAATCATAAATAGGATAAATAGATGAAAATTTGATTGATTCAGGCTGCTTTTCTAATGACACTTCTAGTTACCTTCCTTTTTCCTTTCATAGCTTCTGAAAGAGTAAAGTCTATGCAAAAGCAAGCTTAAAATACATTTATTTAATGTCTTGATATTTATTGTAAATTCTGTAGGCTGTCATACAGCTTTGGCTACTTATTTTTAGCTTTGGATATGCTAAAACTGGGATTAACATATTATATGGACACTGTTATAAATCTATTACAACCACTTGTGAGCTGGTAAATATTTAACAGCTGGTTCTCAGAGAGAAAGCCCTGATTTGTAGCGTTTGCCCATTTCTGCAGTGTAAATACCTCCACCACGGCCGAGATCAGGCTGCCAGCGCCAAGTCACTGAACACTGAGTTGGGGACTGATGTGAACGATCAGCTCCCCAAACCTGCATGAGCCGACTCCCACACACCCTTTCAGAGTTAAGTTTCCCACCAGTGAAAGCCTCCACAGTGCATAAATACTGCCACCCAGTGACAGAAGAGGACTCCAGGTCCACAGTCCGTTGCCTTCAAAGTTACTGGCCACTTAAAATATGAAATATTTGAAAGCACTCATTGCTAAGTGCAATGGGAGATATCTAGAAGCCGGGCGGGGGCGACCTGCACCCCAACTGCAGAAACGGTACAGTATACTAGTCCTGCACAGACCTATAGACAATATGATGTACTGAATGTTGTAACGTACTTTCAGTTTGTAGACTGAAAATCAGTGATGACTACGTACCATAGCTTCTTTGTATTAAAAAAAGTATTAAACATTAAAGCCCAAATAATTTATATATAAACCCCAAACTGGAGTAAAATATACTTAGAACAAACTAATGAAACAAAATAGAAGTTCTTTGACAGCTATGAAGGTCTTACTTTACTTGTAACTGTTCCCATTTGGGCCTATATTTTTATACCCTCTTCGATTGTAGGAAAAATTTTCTGTTCCTATAAACTCACCCAAACTCTTGCACATACTCAGACAATCTGCATCACCACTGTCTGCCTCTGTTCCTGTAGAGAGAAGCAGGTCACAGAAACTGGGTAGGTAATCAGGATTTAAGATGGTGATTTTTAGCCTAAATTCCAGACATTGCTTTGCATCTTTGTCATTTGCTTCTTTCTGGTAATTATCAAGGCAAGGGGTTTATTTGGTGGGGAGGGTTATGGTAATTTAGAGATAAAGAAGATTGATAATAATTTGGCATATAGATAAAGCTTCAGTAGATGCCTACTGTTTGCACAAAACCATATCTGAATATATATGATGTTCATTATTGCTAATAGTAACCATAATAATGCTTTTGAGTCACAAAGTATGGTTTCCCTAAGAACCAAGAATACCTGTTGGGAATTACAGAGTATTCACCTTCTGAAGAGCCCTGTATTATATGTATTTGAATCAAGCTCCAAACTGAAAGCACAAAATGCAGCGGGTTCTTGCGAGTGTCGCTGCCATCTGCTACGAGGTATGAACAGACTTCCAGACAGCAGCGTTGATGACACTCTTTAATGTTGAGATTATTTTTTCCCTATCAGAAGGCTTTGGGTTATTGAAAAAGTTCTATTTTTATTGCTCTGGTTCTCAGAATAAGGTTAATAAAGAGGATGTTGGAAAGCAAAATTAAGTTTACCATGTTTTGCCTCCCCTTTAATGTGATAGATTTATTAAAGTCCTAGGATAGGGGCTTGTTTCATCTGGTTTCCTCAATATCTTCATCACGTATTTCATGTCGAGCTTGTCAACCAGTTACCATATTTGTAATTATTGGGCAGAAGTCCCCTTCCTTCATTGTTAGTAACATCTTAAAAACTCAGAGTTAATAAATTTTTTCAGTGGATTTATAATATAAGTATATAATTAGTATAATCTCTATTATAAATGTTTCCTTATTCTGGTGATAAGTGAGAAATACTTTTCAATACTTTTCTCAGCCTGCCCAAAATTGTGAACATATTTCAGGGGGCTAGATGTAAGGGCTGGTCTTTTGAGTCTAAATGTCATCTCACTATATTCCAGCCAGAAAATAGATTCTTTGGCAAAAAAAAAAAAAGTCTAGAGGAAGGGTAGGTCTAGTGCTAATTTTTGCTATGGGAAGGTGGTTAAGATTGTTGAAGAACAGGCTTATCTGCTTTTCAAGGTGGAGCTTCATATTTCAAACTGACCACACAGAGGCAAACCTTGTCTTCTGTTACATTTCACATATCTCTAATTCAAAAGGTTGCCTAGAGGGAGGGGGAAATCTTCTTAAATCTAAATTGGAATGAAATGTAGCAAAGTTCAGTTGAGAAAAAAAGACCATAAAAATGGTAAGGCAAGGCTGTATGAACTGGCTACTTTCCCTTGTTCACTGCTATACTCCTAGTGTCTGAGCTCTGCACAGAGCTTTTTCTCAACATGCAAGAGATGAATGGCTGACAGAAACACTGGAGGCTTACTGAGATTCACAGCTGAACTTCGTGCCCAATATTACTCTTACTCATGTGAAAACAGTTTTGAGTTCGTGATTGTAAACATTTCTTAACATTAACAAGTCTTGTCTTTCTTTTCCTCATTCTCAGTATTTTCTATACAAATTTCCTGAAGATGTGGATTCAGTTATCATTAAAGTCATGTCTGAAGTGGCTTATCCATGTTCCGTTGTCTCAGTCCAGAATATCATGGTGAGTCTTAGTAACTCGTCCCCCTTCCAATTTGGAGCATTATATCGTCCCAGGATAAAGGAGAGCAAAGGGTGAGCACCATGTCATCCTCCTAGTATGCATCTCTGACAAAACTGCTAAATGATAAAAACAGTATCTTGTGCACACAAGTGGGCAGTCTATGTTTGTGGCCATTGATCTGGGGAGATAGAGAATAGCTGACTCTTCACCAAAATAAATAAAGGTAGGGAGGGAGGGAGGGAGGAAGCATCATGACGAAGAACAAGGAAGACCAAGTGGGCGGCACAAGAAAAATAGAAGCCTACTGTAGTTCTATGTTTTAAAATTTCTATTGTGTCATTAAGCCCTTTCTGCCTTGTAAGGTGTTAGTAAAAAATGGAGAAAGTGTGATATACTTTAAGACAATCTCTTAAGTTCTCTTTGATATAAAGTGACATTGATTTTAGAGAACATGGCATCAAGTTTTAGGAAGACTCTTTTATGACTGTTCTGGGAGAAAACTCTTGATGGTTTCTGGCTCAGTAAGGACCCCTCCTCTGTGATCCAGATAGTATGTGTAGTATGTATAGTATGACATCAATGATGCTTTTTATGCCTTATGCACGTTACAGTGCCCGGTGTACGATCTCGACCACAATGTGGAATTTAATGGTATCTATCAGTCCATGACCAAGAAAGCTGCCATCACACTACAGGTAAGACAACACTTCTGTGGTCATTATTGTCAATGATAATGCACATTTTATAATCAGGTTACCTACTGGACTTAGAGAAATCGAAGGGATTACCATTCACTGTGTGCCTTGCATCTCTTTCCTTTCTGATCAATTTTAAAACAAAGATTGCTACACCTGGTTGATGGTGGACAATGCTGCTCTGCCAGGTGCCCCATCCCCCTTGGGGAATCTTGGGAACCTATGATGCAGCAGGACATGTATATGACGGATTGCTTAGAGAGATGAGGGCAGAAGATTCCAGTCTACTCAACAGGGGATGCCAATTTAGGGTAAAGTTTATCTGATCCATTTAAAGCAATTAAGCACATTCTACTGACACAATAATGTAAACCAACTATATTTCAATGAAAAAAAACACATATTCTAATAATTTATACTAGTAACAGTGACCAAAAGAGAACTTCAACTCTGGGCAGAATAGACAGGTTCAAGGAAATATGAACCACATTTATGCAGCAGTTTGCCCTTTTGGTAATATAATTAAATTATTGTTTCAATGGTAATTTTATAGCAAAAATGTACACATGCATCATGTCAGTATATTTTCAAAGAGATTCCATCCCTGCCTTTAGAATGGTACTTACTTGAGGTATCTGCAATTTGAACTGTTCTCTAGGTAAGGAGATACTGTCTATTGAATAATAAGCTATGAATGAGAAAAGGTTAATTATAATTTAGGGATCAGACCTAAAAGCTTCTATTAGTCAGGCTTTAATTTTCTTTTTTTTTTTCAATTGAAGTATAGTTGATTTACAATGCTGTGTTAGTTTCGGGTGTACAGCAAGGTGATTCAGATATATATATGTATATATATGTATATATTCTTTTTCAGATTATTTTCCATTATAGGTTATTACAAGATATTGAATATAGGTCCTTGTGCTACACAGTAGGTCCTTGTTAAGCTTTAATTTTCTAATGTCTCAGATTTGATATCTCAAAAATCTGCTCTTGTTTTTAGTATTTGTTTTTCCCTTAGCACCTTAGCATTAAGTGGTTCCAAATTAAAAAGGACAAAATAAAAAACCATAGTAGGAAACTCAGATTTTACATCATCCAGACATTAAATTAATAACGTACAAAGCTGTTCAGTACATTCCTACTTTGAATGTGTTTGGCAATAAATTATTCTCTTTTGAGCCCATGATTCAGTCTTGGGCCATTTTCTCAGTAGGTTAAAGATAATATAGAAATTTTGAAATAATTAAAAAGTCAGAGTTGTAGAAATACACTGGACCTTAAAGATCATCTTGTCAACCATGCTTCATTCACAGATAAGAAACTGGGACACAGAGAAGCCCACATAGAGAAAGTCAAAGCCAGGACTATGACTCAGGTCTCCTGATTGGAGCCTTTGCTTCCCTAACCTAAATTATGTATTTAACTGTTGACTATGTAACTTCTGAGAAAGTCATATTTCATTAGATTTTAAACCAACAGAAACTTAATAAAGTCAAGCTAAAACTGCTCTAAAAAGATAAAGTTTATTAATTAAAAGTAACTTAATATACAATTATTACATAGGTTGTGGACATATTTTTTATATGGGATATATGTTAGTTCCAAGCACACCAGTGGGTACAAGACAGATTGAAATGAGAATAGTGTATGTATCTAATTTCTTAGCTGTAACAATTGCTTTATTGTGGATAATCTGGAGCAGATCATGGGGATGTGAAAATCCTTTCTAATGAGTTAAGGAGCAGGGGTGAGCTTTACTTTACTTCTCCTTCCTCTTTCTTTTTGCCCCCACCTGCACCATTTTGGACTTCCTCACTTCTTCTCACTATCTTTCTTTCTCATGCAGAAGAAGGATTTTCCAGGCGGGCAGTTCTTTGTGGTGTTTGTGATAAAGCCTGAAGATTATGCTTGTGGAGGATCTTTCTTCACCCAGGGTAAGCAACAGTGAGGAATAGTAATGCTAGTATATTATTTACATAATAAATGTTAATATATTGTCTTCTAACATGGCTACTTAGAAGAGCCGAATGGAACAGCATGGAAAGGAGCCAATAGCTTATTTTGGCCCCTTCCAATCCCTCTTGACCTTCTCTAGTTCCCACTAAGTGAGATTCAGCAGCAGTGGCTTGGCCAAGCAGTCTGAGCATATTTGAGGAAAAAAATAAAGGGAAGAAAATAATAGATCTCAAGACAGTGTGGATACTACAAAATGCCATTCAGTGCGTTTAATCTGTTTAAAATCTTGTACTCCCTCCAACCATGTGAGATACATTCACTCTGCTGGCCGTTCACTCAACAAATATTTATGACTATGAAGTGATGACCTTGTATGGCAGGTCAAGGATCACCTTCTAATGTCATTTTGGTAGCTAGCAGTAACGGGCCCACTTATATTTATCAGCAGTCATCATTTCCACAAGGAAAATTCAGGGGTTTCAATTCCTGTTGCCAAAATTGCCCCTTTCAAGACAGTAAGTAAGTAAAGTGGGATGACTAATCCCAATGACAGAGACTGTGTGAACTCTCAGGCACAGTACAAATGGTCATGGGTAACTACCCAGTAAGTATCTTGGGAGTGGAATAGGCTACTGATTGAAAACACAGACCCCCAGCAGCTGATGGGGACATGTGATCAGCACGGAGAGTACGGCTGAGTATAACAGCATTCCCTCGGTAGCTAGGTGAATTTTCTTCTCGTGTGTTCTTTAATCTCTTAATTACATAGCTCTAGAGTTTTGCCAATGTCTGATGTCCCCAGTAAACTAGCAGTTCTTTAATATAAGAAAAAACAAACTGTCACTGGCTAGAAAATTGCAAACTGGAAGATGAAGTAGCTATCTATTCTTTTGCTGCTGTTTTCTTCAGATGTCTGTGGCAGACTGAGTTGTATGATATCGGGAGAAGGGTCACGCCTTCTTCATTCAAGGAGGGAGGCTGCAGTCTCATTTACGTCCCTTAGTGCTACCAAAATGCACCCAAGCAAAGGCTAAATTGAAAGTTTTAACCAAAAGGAGTATTAGATGGTTTGAAGGTTGGGGGGTTGGGTTTTCCTGCAGTTTTTGCTAAAAGAAAATTCAGCAACCAGGGTTAATTCTGGACAGTTTTGAAACATCTGTTCAGAGGAGAAGTCAGGAACCTAGAATCTGATCCATTGTGCTTTGTTCTTTTTTACCAGAAAAGGAGAACCAGACCTGGAATCTACAACGTGCAAAGAACCTTAAAGTGACCATCGTTCCTTCCATTAAAAGTCAGTATTGGCACTAAGATTCAGTGAAGGGATTCCTATGGCAGGAAGTCGATCATGTAACTCAATGCTAATGTCATCCTTCCAGAGAAACATAAGAAAACTAATGTTTATTTTAGAGATAGAAGAGAGAATCAAACCACTCTGTTAAATCCCTTGCAGAAGGGAAGGGAACTCAATTATGAAGTATGTACGGGAAGCCCCTTCCCGGCTTCCCCTGGGAAGTCACTGCCATGAAAGGCAGCCATTTATGGATCATGTCTGGGGGACCTCCAGTAGCTTTGCTGCTTTGAATGCAGATATCTTAGGAATTAAGAATGGGTGTGATGCAGACGGGCCCTTGACGCTGTCCTGTCCCAAACACGGTCCTCTTTTCTCCTGAGGAAATCCTGACCAAAGTTGTTTCTCTCCCTTCAGAATCCGTTTATGTGAAATCCATTCTTCTCAGTTTCCTCATCTTCCTCTCCTTCTACTTGGGATGCCTGTGTGTTGCGTTGGTTCATTTTATCAGGTATGTCAAGGGTTTCAAGAAATGTCAACCTCTTCAACTGTCTCTGCTTTTAGTGATTAGCACATTAGACTTTAGAGCCATATTGATTGGATTCAGATCTACCTTAGTCACTAACCGTGTGATCTTGGGGAAGTTACTTAACATTTCTGTGCTTTGGTTTCCTCATCTGTAAAATGAGATAATAATTTACCTCATAGACTAGCATAATTGCAGTGTTTATGTCAATATTCTGCACTGAGCAAGTGCTGATAGTTATTTTCATAGTTAATGAAACTTCAATAGAAAGACAGCTTGGGTATTTTTTTAACACCAGAAAATACTCAATATAAATATGGAATGTAGGAAATGAGTTCTACCTAATATGGAGATTTAGAAACAGCTTTAAACATTCCATCAAAAAGTAAAATTAATGCCTAAGGTAAATCTTGAGGTATAATAAATAGCAAGAGTGACAGATACATCTTGATACTATATTACCAGGTGCTTTCTCATTGTGGTAGCATCAGTTTTACAGTAAAATGTTCCCTGAGAGAAAAAAAAAAAAGAGAGAATCATGCTGTAGTTTGACCAAGGAACTTTCTCTCCCCAAGAGTTTGGAGCTCCAGTGAAAAGAGCTCCAGTCTTCCCTCACATCTCTGAGCAGGCCTGAACTTCGAGAATTCCATCGTTTGTTTTGGTCTCTGTGAAACAACTACAGAGGACTGGCAGGAGGTACAATAACAAATGTTCTCTCTCCTCTTGAGCATGGAAAGAACACAAAGCCAGCGCAGTGTTTTCAGACTGTTGGGCAAGATTAGCCTCATCTGTAGAAAAACTTCACGGCTGCCACAGTGATACAGCTATCCCAGTGATACAGGCCTACCTCTGACTTAAAAAATAACCCCCTTCTGTGATCTTTATGAAGCTTTTCTGTTGAGAAACTGACTTCAAAACCCCCAGGACTACTGTTGGTCATATCTGGGACAATTTGAGCACCAAAATAATTAAGAAGAATAGTAAGTTATAAACCACTGAGAAAAACAGAAATTCATGAATCCATATCAATCAGAGAAGGAAGGAAGGCAGGCAGGGAGTGTGAGACAGAGGGAGGGAGGGATGATGGACCTAAATGCTTGCGGATATACATCCAATGAATTCAATGAAGTTACTCAGATAGATACACGTTAGGGAAAGGAGCTGTTACCAAATACTGACATAGAAGGGAGGACTCTTGCCCACAGCAGAACACCAAACACTGGTAAATAAGGAGAGTGCTGGCCCTGGAAAATCACCATTCTGCAGAGGTCAGGTTAAGAATCATCAATGAACACTAAAACTAGGAGGAACTTCTGATGAGGATCAAGGTATCTGCATGGTCTTACAGTGGATCCCCACAAATTGCTTAGGAGTTGAAAGGGAAAAAACAGAAACTACCCAATAGAGAAACAAGATGATTGACAGGGTGATCAAAATTAATATGAGCAAGGGGAAGATGGACACTGTGTGCCTCCAGATGTGACACTCTGAGAAGGACACAATATCACGTCGGCAGTATTCTAGCCAGAAATGCACATTTGGAATCTAATCACGAGGGAAAATTTAGACGAACTCCAAATGATGACCATTCCATTGAAATGTGTCACAAAAGACCAAAAAAAATGGCTGTGGAAATGTTCCACATTGAAGGAGACTAAAGACATATGGCAGCTGAAGACAATACCTGACCTCAGATTGGATCCTTTATTAGAAGAAAAATATGCTATAAAGGACATTATTGGGTCAATTGACAGAACTGTAATAAAGACAGTAGATTCGATAAGAGTACCACAACAATGTTAAATGTGCTGAATTTGACAACTACACTGTGGGTTATATAAGAGAATATTTATTCTTTGGAAATATTCCAAAAAGTATTGAACATATATGGGTGTTCTATATTCTGTTCTTCTTCGTACAGCTTTTCTGTAGATTCGAAATTATTTTCAAATAAAAAGTTAGAAACAAAAACTCTAGCCTACAGGCCAATATTATACCTGGAAAGTATATACATTAACTGATTATCAGCTCAATTAACTTTTCAGGTCACAATCATTAACACTGAATAAGTGTTCTACATCAGGTACTTGTGGGGGGCCCTCTAAGCAGATTATCTCATTTAAAGCCCCCCTACAGTAAGTACTAGCATTATCATCATTTGACAGTTGAGGAGATTCAGGCATTGAGAGGTCAAGCAATTTGACCAAGAATTCACATCCAGTAAATGAAGGAGATGGGATTTGAACCCAGGCAGCCTGGCTCCAGAGCCTTAGCTCTTAAGCAAGCTGGTCAAGATAGGTCTGGAGTGGTCAGGGCATGTGAGGGAGGGCAGTCCTGATCGAGGAGACCAGATCAAAAGCCTGGCACCCCAGCTTGGGTTTGGTTCAAAAGGGGTGCAAAAAGCTGCCAATTTTAACTCCAATGTACTTAAACATCATGGAAAAAGAAGTTCATCTCTTCTGCCTGTCTTAGGAAGATGGTCTCTCCTGCTGATGTTTTAGATTTTAGAAAATAAGATCTCATCTCTTTAGATAGCTAGCAGTTATAATCAACATACAAACAGACAAAAAATGAAGCTAATAGCTGGATATCAATCTCCCTAGTGTTGTTATTCGGCCTGCCTAAGCGAGCAGTTTTTGGAAGTTGTGGTCCAAGGCTCTGTTGAAACCTCTAGTGGCCAGACTGTTTTGCTACAGTCAACTGCATAAGCATGGATTCTTTCCAAACATAGAGAAGCTGAAAATAGAAATCTGGAGACATAAGGCGTAAGAACTACTTGGCATTCTAAACAGACTGAGGGAAATGCTAACAGAACTCTTCCTTCATTGAACTAAGCAGAAATAACAAAGTTTTCTTCAAAACCAAGTTGAGCCAGTCCTGGAGCAGAATGCCATTTGCTTGTTGAGCGCCCCATACGTTATTCCTAATATATATGGGGTTTGCAGTACATGCTATGAGATCAGGATAAAAACACTGATAAGTGACATGGTGCCTGCCCTCAGGGAGCTAAGAATCCAAAGTGTTTTTATGCTATATTTGCTCAACCCTAAACTCCATTCCCTTCCCACCTTCCAGCCCCAATTCATTCAACAAGTATTTATGGAGTCCCCACAGTAAATGGCAGGCCCTGGGCCAAGCACGGCCTACATTATTCCTGCCTCTTGGTCACCCTGCCAGATATTGAGTTCAAACTGCATGATCCTAATTACTTGTCATTCCCTTGATTCCTGTATTAGTTATCTATTGCCATAATAGTGCTGCATAAAAATTGGCCATAAAATTCCACTGGCATGCAACTATATATATATATATATATATATATATATATATATATATTATATATATAACTATATATATATAATATATATATATAATTGCATTTGTTCCCAAGTCTATGCGTCAGCTAGAAGATTCTGCTGATCTGGATGAGGCTCAGAGATCTCAGCTGGGTGTGGTCATGGAGTGAAATCTACTAGGCGGTCAGTGAGGAGCCGGCTCTTCTAGACTGGCCTGCTGCCCTTTGTCTCTCATCCTCCAGCAGCCTAGCCCTGGTTTATTGTATCTCTGACAGGTAGAAGAACGCAAGGCCTCCTTAAGATGTAGATTCAAAAGTGGCATGATATCACTTCCCCCTCCTTCTATTTATTAGCCAAAACAAGTGATGAGGCCAGTCCATATTCAAGAGGTGAAGAATAGACTCCACTTTTGATGGAATAGCTGGATACAAGATGAGGTGTAGCCATTTTTCAACCAGTCTAGCATGGTTCTCATTTACTCTTTTCCCCTTTGTTCACTGGATACTGCCTGCCTCATCCTAGCTTCACAAATCATTTAAATCCTCTAATAAAGAATTTTATCAACTCCAAAACCTAAGACAAATGTGCATAAAGCCTGTTAATACAAACATAATCCAAACACATCATCTCTTATGAGTTTGTGTAATTGCTTGCTAGTTAACATCACTAAAATTGTTTTTTAAAGGGACTTCACTAGACCTTCATTTGCCAGCTAGAACATTCAGACCCAATTGTAACTGCTCTCCTTAATAACATGTCTTGTTTACTCAACAAATATTTAGTTATTTCCTGTGTGCTGGGCCCTGGCCTAAAGGTAGGAGATACAGTGGTGAACCAGACAGTCTAGATCCCAGCACTAACAGAGCTTACACTGTACAGAGGAAAAATGTATAAGCAAGCAAGCAACTAATAAGAAAGTAATTTCAGCTAGTGACAGGAGGAGAACAAACAAGTGGTGTGACAGATGATTGGTTTGGGGAAGCTACTTTAGAGTTGATTTGTTCAGCAGGAAAGACTTCTCAGAACCAAGATCTGAATGGCAAGAAGGAGCCAGCCATGGAAGGATACAAGATGAGGTGTAGGAACAGAAGAGGTATGAAGAGAAGTTCTTCCCCCAAACATACCAGGATCAGGAGTGCACAACTTCTAGAGCCCCCAACAGAAAGTAAATAAGACCAGGTACCAAAGCACAGGCATGTCTAGCCCCCAACTTTTCTCCCCTCTCCCCCTACTCCAACCTGACATCCAAAAGGGAGACTCGTTTGAGGGGAAGAAGGTAATTCACATTTTAATTTTTGGTAGACATTTCCATTTAATATACCCGGTTTTTAAAATAATAGCTTTATTAAGACATAATTCATAGACCATAAAATTCACCCTTTTTAAAATTTAGTGGCTGTAGTATATTCACAGTTGCACAACCATCACCACTATCTAATTTTCATCACCTCCAAAAAGAAACCCTGAGTTCACCAAGATTACAAGATCAATATACAGAAATCAACTGTATTTCTATACACTAGCAATGCACAATTCAAACATGAAATTAAGAAAACAATTTAATTTACAATAGCATTCAAAAATAATAAAATACTTAAGAGATTTAACAAATTAAATTTAAGACTGTATGTTGAAAACTACAAAACATCCTTGAAAAAAATTAAAGAGGACCTAAATAGATGAAGAGGCATTCTGTGTTCATGGGTTGGAAAACTTAATATTGTTAGGATGGTATAGTAGACAGAATAATGGCCCCCAAAAGATGTCCATGTTCTAATATTTAGAACCTGTGAATACGTTACTTTGTGTGGCAAAAGAGATTTTGCAGATATGATAGTTATGGAGATTATCCTGGATTATCCATGTGGGTATCGTGTAATCACAAGGGTCCTTATAAGAGGGAGGAAAGAGAGTCAAAGGAAGTTGTACCCCTACTTCACACCATATACAAAAATTAACTCAAAATACAACAAAGATCTAAATAAAAGAGCCAAATCTATAAAACTCTTAGAAGAAAACATAGGTGTAAATCTTTGTGACCTTGAATTAGGCGATAGTTTCTTAGACACAACACCAAAAGCACAAGTAACAAAAGAAAAAAAAATTGGTAAATTGGACTTCATCAAAATTTAAAACTCTTGTGTTTTTAAAGGATATTGTCAAGGAAGTAAAAATATAACACACAAAACTGGATAAAATGCTTGCAAATCATATATCCCATAAGAGTCTAGTATCCCAACTAAAGAATTCTTACAACCCAAAGACAGAAAGAAAAATATCTCCATTTAAAAATGGCACTTTTTGAATTGAATAGACATTTCTCCAAAGGAAATACACAAATGGCCAATAAGCATGTGAAGAGATGCCCAACGTCATGAGCCATCGGCGCAATGCAAAGCAAAACTACAATGAGCTATCATTTTATATCCACTAGGATGGTTATGATAAAATTGTTTAAATGGAAAATAACAAGAGTTGGTAAGGATGTGGAGAAATTGGAACTTCCCACATTGCTTAGTGGGAATGTAAAATAGTTCCTGCTATAAAGCTGCTGTGGAAAACAGTTTAGGAAAAAAAGTTAAACATACTTGACACCCAGCACTTCCATTCCTAGGAATACACCCAAGAGAATTTAACACATATATCCACACAAAAACTTGTACACAAATGTTCATAGCAGGGTTGTTCATGCTAACTAAAAAGTGGAAACAGCCAAAATGTACATCAAATGTAAACAAATAAATGAAACATGGTACCCATACAATGCAATATTACACAGCCATAAAATGACTGAAGTGTTCATTCATGTACCACACAGATGAATCTTGAAAGCATTATGCTAAGTGAGAGAAGCCAAACAAAAAGACCACCTAAACTACTATTCCATTTATATGAAATGTCCAGAATAGGCAAATGTATAGAGACAGGAAGTGGATTAGTGGTTGCCAGGGGCTGGGAGGAAGGGAGGACGGAGAGTGACTGGTATGAGTTGAGATTTCTTTGGGAGATGATGAAAATGTTCTGGAACTAGGTAACAGTGATGGTTGCACAGCTTTGTGAACATACTAAAGTTCACTGAATTGTGCACATTTTAAGGTGCAAAATTTATCTTTAGGGTGAACTTTATGGCATGTGAATTATCTGAAAATAAATGAAGATGAAAATAAAATTAATGAATGCATATATGTATGTATGCATGTGTGTGCCTAGACGTGGAATTGCTGGGTCATGTTGTATCTCTGTGTTTAACTTTTAAGGAATTGCCAAATGGTTTTTCAAAGTCCCTGCTCCATTTTACAGTCCCACAAGCAATGTATCAGAGTTCCAGTTTCTGCACATCCAAAGGCCCATTTTTAGGGCCCATTTGTCCTCGCAGAGAAATCTGCAACAAAGTCTATAGGGAACGAGTGTAAAATGCTGGGGTTTTTGCTGTCTTAGGAGCATGTGTATGTGCTTGTTTGCAGGTTTCAGAGAAAATCCATTGATGGAAGTTTTGGTTCCAATGATGGTAAGAAAAATCCCTGATTTCGATTCAAAATGATGTCAAGAATGTGGCAACATCCCATTTGGTACTTCTGTCTCTCTGCCTTCTGTGATTACCAAACCCCTCCTTGGTTCCTATCCCCCAGAGTGGTCTAATCTGCAGTGTTTCTCCAGAAAACAGAGCTAGTGAGAGCCAATTTTTATAGTTGATAATTACTGAGATATGGAGCTCACACTAACGACCTTCGCTTGGAGTGTTCCTTGTACTTCTCCATAGCCCATCTGTCAGCCATTCATCTTTTTTAAAGTTTAATCTTTTCTGGGATATAAGTTGTTCATACCTATCTTATCCCAAAGCTCATTTGTGAACAATAGTAAGAATTTATTGTGTCAACACGAATGCAGAGTGTACTTTTCCCAAATTGGGATAGAGGGTTTTTTGTTTGAGGATCTAGAAAACTGAAGTATTTTAATCTAGCAAGTGTAACAGAGTATAATTACTTCAGGAAATCCAGAGTAATTGATTATCCAACCATCATAATATGCCTTTTCCTCCACTCTGATATTTTGAACAGAGAAATTCAGTTGCTTGATCTTTCGATAAACATTTTTAAATTAAATGTCCTAATTTAAAAATTGAGATATAATTGACATATAATATTGTATAAATTTTGGGTGTACAACATGATTCTGTATTTGTATATATTGTAAAATGATCACCACAAAAAGTCCGATTACCATTCATCACCACACATAGTGACAACTTCTTTTTCTTGTGATGAGAACTCTTAAGATCTATTCTTTTAGCAACTTTCAAATATACACACAGTATTATTAACGATAGTCATCATGTGGTCCATTACATCCCCAGGACTTACCTTTTATAACTGGAAGTTTGTGCCTTTTGCAAGTGTCTTGTTTTTGAAAAGCCTAAATCAGCATGAGTTACTCTGTGTCCACAAACTAGCTGGCATGTGGAAAAGGACTGATGAGGTGAGACCTGATTTTTAAGTCACATGCAGCAGATGTTGAGTTGTGTGTTTTCTATGCTTAAATGAGCCCACAGGATCTCAGAAAGACATAAAAGGACCCCAGGCCCCACTCAGCAGGAGCATCTCTCCCTCTGCCTCCCTTTGGACTTTTGTCTTCCTTAATGTCAGTGTGTTTGTTTTTCCAGCCACCCAGGCAGTCTGTTTCAGTAACATTCAACGGTCAATATAAAAGGACACATGCTCTAGTGTCTTTAAAATGCCAAGCACTACTTCCCATTTTATTCATAAAATGTTAAGATGAAATGTCGTCTCTCTAGATCTCATCCTTTTTCCTCCAGAGCTTTCCAGGTTTTGCTCTTCTTTCAGGCCTAGTTAAACTTAGAGAGCCTGATCGGGTGGGTCCCCCTGGTGTGCTGTGAATGGATGGTCTGTTATTCTTATTGTATGAGTGAAGTCATTTTATTACTGCAATGATAATGAAAGGAATTCCATGTTCAGAAGGGTCTCCTGAACAGTGAAGCACTGGTGGACAGAGCTGGGACTTGAGCCAGATCATTGTCTAAGATCAAGAAGGCTCTGAAAGTGAGCTGAGAGCTAGAGGCACCCTGCAGATGGCAAGCAGGAATGCACGAGGGACCCCTCCCCACTGCCAGAAAAAAGAATAAAGATGCATCAGTTGAATTCATGTGGCTGCAAGTGACAACAAAGTACATCATAAATATACCTAAACAATAAGGAATGTCTCATCTCCTGGAAGTTGAGCAGAAGAGTGGGCTTCAGGCATGACTGACTCCAGTTGTACTGGTCCTTTTTCCTGTCATTCCATTGGCTCTGCTTTGGCCCTAGGGCTGCTGGTGAGATGGCCAGGTTTATGCCCTCATCTGACAAGGTCCAGAGGCAAGGACTTTTTCAGAAGCACCTACCAACCTCTCTTGTGTTTCATTGGCCTAGAATGGACCATATACTTATTGCTAAACCAGTCACTGCAAAGGAACAGATTTACCTACAGATTAGTCAAGCCTGCTTATAGAATTAGGGTGAGGTCTTCTTTTTTTAGACCAGGGTTCCTCAAACTTAACATTATTGACATTACAGCCAGATAGATGATTCTTTGCTGCTGGGAGCTGCCCTGTACACTGTAGGATGTTTAAATGCATCCTTCACCTCTACCTACTAGAATTCAGTAGTACACTCCCTCCCTGTGACAACTAAAAATATCTCCAGACATTACCAAGTGTCCTCTTGGGGGCAAAACGTTCCCCCCACCCCCAGTTGAGAATCACTGACTTAAAAATGTGGGCTGCCAGGCTCAGGTAGGGATACCTGAAGAAAATCCCAGTTTAGTTAGGAAGTAGGGAATAAGAGTGCTCAGCACAAAGAGCTTTGCAATAGGGAGGAAGTAAGGAACCTTTGTAGTGCAGAGAAGCTACTGAGAAAGGTGGCGCCTGACCACTGGTGAGGCAAGACTTCGGTGCTTCAAACAAGAGCAAAGAAGACAAGCTCTACCGTAGGTAAGAACCAGTTAGTGATTCTTAATCATCTCAAGCAGAGCACTGAGAAACCAGCCTGGAGGAAGAGACAGAGCATGCGTGGGACCTTATTGAAAGCTAATGTGAGACATTCAGGGGAGGAATGTCTTTGGAGAAGAGCAAGGATTCAGAAATGTCTTTATCTCCTAAGGGCCAGTATCAGTGTGACCTAGGGGGCTTCAGGAAACTTAATAGCGCTCAGAGCTACAGGAAATGCCCCAGGGGCTGGTGCCCAGAAGAAATGCTAGGAGCTGTGCCTGAAAAAGGAAGGGGATCCCACTAGATTTGGCATGTTGTCTGCCCGAATCAGTGTGGAACTAGACATCTGGGCCTAATGCTTGCACCTTTGATATGCCTGAGGTGGACGAAGCAGAGCCAGGTCCCTATCATGTGCCAAGTTGGTGGCAACTCTGTGATAGTTATGTAATGATAGGAAGCAGCATTTGGAAAATCTGTCGACTCTCCTGCATTTGTTTTTCTTTGATTTGCCTGCAGTTTTTAAAGTTGTATTTGAAAGAAGCATGTTGACAGTGGCTCCAACTGTACTAAAAAGCAAAAAAAAAAAAAAAAGGAATTTCTTTCATACTTCCTGGAGTAAAGAAGGAGATAAGACCCTGGAGCCCAGGTGAAGTGGAAATAGTGCTAATAAACAGCAGCTTCAGGCCACAGAGGGACTTTCTTTCTGATGTGAATGGACAAACACCGTGCTCTCCGTTCAGCACTTGGAGCTTAAGACAGGGGCCCCTGGTAATCTGAGGGCCTCTGTGCAAGGCTCTATGCTCTAAAAACACTTCCTCCAGTGGCTCTATTAGTGGAGAAACCCTGCGTCTCACGTCCTTGTTACAGAGCCTGTGCAGAAATTCATGTTACCAACTGGAAAGAGAGACGGACAAAGCCTGCCTCCCAGGCCTCGGGGACCACGTAGGCTGTTACCACGACCTTGGGTGCAGCCCGAGAGGAGGTTCCTTTCTCAAGTGGGAGAGCTTGACAAACCTGACATGTTTGTAGATTTCAAAACCAAAGGACCAATCAGACCCTTCCCTGGATGGAGCTGTTACTGAACCAGCCTTTCAGTAAACAGCAGGGTCCAGGAGGGATGAGACAAGCCGTGCTGAGTGCAGGGCAGCTGGGGGCACAGGCTGTCTCAGTCTCTCTGGCAGCTGGTCTCAGACGCCAGTCCTAACTCTCCCCTCAGCTCTACCCAATTGTACATGACTTTCCTTGCCCAGTTTTTAATTTGAGAGGATTTTTTCCTTTTACATCCTTCTGCAAAGCCTAGTGGTTTCCTTCATTTTCTCCTCAACTTTTGAAGCAAAACATGAAACTAGTCGGAATAGGTAGCCAACTGGTGTAAAAATGAAATCTCCTGGCAGCCTGTTCACTACATTTCTGACTCCCTCCTTGGCTTCCAGCCTCCTGAGTCCAGAGATAGAGGAGAGCAGGACAATTATAAATAGAAATTCTGTCCCTGAAAGAGCCAAGCATGCTCAAAATGAAACGAAGTTTCCCTCCTCACATAGAGCATTTAACATAGAAGGCAAGCAAGAAAACATACCCTCTTCTAAGTTAGTAAAGTAGGCAGATGGCAGAGGGCTCAGAGAAAAACATACCAGAACAAGTTTCCTCATTAAGATGAGCTCATTCACAACCTTACACATTTGCTTATTCCCAGCCAGAACATCTTGGTCTGTCCTATAAACTGATACTTTGTGTTTCATTCTGCTTTCTAAATACCCTAGAGTTAACTAGAAATACGGCTTGCGTTCCTGGAGCATCGATCACACTTGAAGTTTGGGAGAGTGTGCTTTGGGTTTTGCATTCTAAGAAGGCCTTAGACATTAGAAAAGTTAACAGTACACCATTATCCTGTGTCAGCCAATCTCCTAGTTAATTGTACACATGAAAGTACGCAGATGTGAAACACTTTTATGTGCTGGCAGTTGTACTGCATGTGAACATCTTGACGCTCTTGTCCACCGCAGAACCGCTGGTGCTGCAGCTGCCTCAGGGGGAAAGGGACTAGCGACTACATCAAAACCAGGTCAGGCTGGATCACGAGCCAGAGCAGAGTGCAGAAATCAGCAGTCCATCCAAGTCTGAGCAAACAGCTGGCTTTTCCCTTTTAGTGAAGTTGTCGCCTAACAAAACAATGATTGTTTTTGTTTGCTCGCTTGCTTTGATTTTATTTTTTGTGGGTTTTTTTTCCCCTCTTTTGATTACACACACAAAAAAACTGTGCCTCCCACAAGCCGTTTCAACCCCCTACTACTGTGTAACACAGGCATTCTCCTTGCTTGCTTCTATGCCCTGTACCAGAGGGCTTCCCCGGAACACCAAAATGGCAAAAAGTCTGGATTTTATGCTTTTGTATCCTTCTTCACTTACTCTTTCATATTTAATATTTTTAAAAATTACATCTTAAACAAAGGATGTAAGCTTGTGGTTAAAAGTAGGGAACTTAGGCTGGAAAAGAGAAAAATGTGAAAGATACTGAGGGAAATGGGAAAGCTATGTCACCTGGGGCTGAGATGCTAGCATGACCCAATAAGGAGTCATGAACAAGCGGCAGCAGCAGCCAATCTAAAAAGCAAACGTCGCACTTAGATACTTCTTTAAAATATGAGTTTACTCTGGTGGAGATGCAAATGAGCCTCAATCTCCTTGTGTCTTGCAAAATGAGCACTTCATGAAAGTAACACTCTCACTGCGAGTCATTCCGATATTGAAGGAAAATCCTTTTAAATTTTTTTTCAATTAAGAAAAGTTTTTTATCATCCTATAATTATTAATGATTCCATAATTAATGCAGTTTTTAATACATATATATTTTTTCAGATTCTTTTCCATTACAGCTCATTATAAGAAATTGTGCTATATAGTAGGTCCTTCTTGTTTATCTGTTTTATATATAGTATTGTGTATTTGCTAATCCCAAACTCCTAATCCACCCCCCCCCTTTCCCCCTAACAGTTTGTTTTCTATGTCCAGGAGTCTATTTCTGGTTTGTAAATAATTTTTTTTTGGTTCCACATATAAGCAACATCATATGATATTTGTATTTCTCTTTCTGGCTTACTTCATTCAGAATGACAATTTCCGAGTCCATCTATATTGCTGCAAATGGCATTATTTTGTTCTTTTTTATGGCTGAGTAGTATTCCATTATAGAAATAAATAACTTCTTTATCCAGTCATCTGTCGATGGACATTTAAGTTGTTTCTATGTAAGACAATAAGTTTTAACTGCGACCTATACAATGACCACCATCCACCCACTATCGAGGAACTCTGGGCAAATTACTTGACCTATCAGTGCCTCCCTTTTGTTATCTTTAAAATGGTGATAATAAAAGTACCCACTCAGAGGGTTGTTGAAAAATAAAAAGAGTAAATTCTTGTGAGGAACTTTAAAGAGAGTCTGACACACAGTAAGTTTCCCATAAACATTAGCCAGCAGTACTGACAGCAGTAGTGATAGCAGTAGTGACAGTAGTGATAGTAGTAGTGACAGCACTAGTGACAGCAGTAGTGATAGCAGTAGTGATAGCAGTAGTGACAGCAGTAGTGACAGTAGTAGTGACAGCAGTAGTGACAGCAGTAGTTGACAGCAGTAG